GCTCCTCTTCCAGGCTGGGCTGGCCTGCAGAACCAGGGACTCCCACATTGAGGAAGTTCCTGTAGCTAAAATCAAGGGTGGGCGGAGGGGCCGTGACCTAAGAAACCCGTCACCCACCCAGCCAGCGGCACACCTGCAGTGAGACCTCGGATCCCCGACTCCCTGGCTTGGTGCATTCTCCTCCCGTCCCCTGAGCTTCAGAGCATCAGCACTGTTCCTCCTTCCCTGTGATGCTTGTCCTCACCTGCCAGGTGAGGAGTCTAAGAAAACAGCCTTTCCATCAGTCCCTGTCGTGACAGACCCTCCAGTGGGATGGCAGCGGCTGCCTCGCCCATTTACAGGGCAACCCAGTTTTGCTCCCTGCTGCCCTGAAATTTGTTCCTCCTGGAAATTGTCCCTCACAAGGCATGAGCAGTCAATCAATAGAAGATATACGTGGTCTTCCTAGCACAAGAACTGCAGAATGAACTGTGGAGTGCCCCGTCAGGAGTCCTGAACAGCCTCAAACGTTTCCCCTCTAGTAACTGCCTGACACGCCCCAACCCCAATAATCATTGCGCATTTAACTTAGGGGTTGCCTCACCCTTGGGAGATCCAAACCCCTAGGCTGACTTCCTGTCCTTCATGGAGGAGAAGGCTCTTGTCCCCAGTGTACTACTCAGTTTCTACTCAGGGCCAGTGACCTGGAGCCTGGGCACAGAAAGCCTGGAGAGAAAAGCTGAGGTAAATCACACTGCTTTGGCCAAGCAGACAGGTGACCTGTGACAGGTGGGAAAAGCCTCATCCTGAACACTACACCCTCTGATATAAAGGTACCTGGTGGCCGGGCGCAGTGGCTCATGCCAGTAATCCCAGCACTTTGGGAGGCCAAGGCGGGTGGATCACCTGAGGTCGGGTTCAAGACCAGCCTGACCAACATGGAGAAACCCTGTCTCTACTGAAAATACAAAATTAGCCAGGCGTGGTGGTGCGTGTCTGTAATCCCAGGTACTCAGGAGGCTGAGGCAGGAGAATCGTTTGAACCCAGGAGGCGAGGTTGTGGTGAGCCGAGATCATGCCATTGCACTCCAGCCTGGCAACGAGAGCGAAACTCTGTCTCAAAAAAAAAAAGTGCCTGGTGGCCGGGTGCAGTGGCTCACACCTGTAATTCCAGGACTTTGGGATGCCAAGGTGGGAGAAACTTGAGCCCAGGAGTTCGAGACCAATCCTGGCAACATAGTAAGACTCCATCGCTACCAAAAAATAAAAATAAAAATAAAAATTAGCTGGGTGTGGTGGCACACATCTGTAGTCCCAGCTACTTGGGAGGCTGAGGTGGGAGGACTGCTTGAGTTTGGGAGGTCGAGGCTTCAGTGAGCCGTGGTTGCACCACTGCACTCTAGCCAGGATGACAAAGTGAGATCCTTTCTCAAAAACAAACAGACAAACAAACAATGAAAAAAAACAAAAGGAAAAAAAAAAGACCCCTGGGAAGTCCAGGTGTCACACCCTATTCCCAGGACTGCGTGTCCTCACTGGCCTGCTCTAGGTACCAGTTTCTGAGCTCTTACTCAGACCTAGGTGGGAATGTGAACAGAGCAAATTCTGTTCCCATAGAAGGTGTGCTCTGGTTTCCAGACCTTCCAGGCCATCATTGGATATGTGCTCGGCCTGGTGGACTCCAGGTAGAAGCTCCAGGGGCCCCCTATGCTGAGGACCACACTCTTGCAGGAGGATGTGGAGGTTTGGAGGAACATGCAGCATCTTCCTTCATCAGCAGGGAGATGGGAAAAGGACCAGTTTTCCACTCTAGACCTCGGCAGATCTCAGTAGACCCTGAGGACCCACAGATTTCATAGACATGTGGAATTGAGTGAAATTACAAGGGTGAGAAGCAGGAGGAGCTGAGGTTAGTAGTTGAGATGTGGGGAGTGTGGGGAAAGAAAGCCCACTCTGTCCCATGTATCCCTGGAGACAGAGTAGGTTATCTTCCTTTTGTTCTCTTCCTTACTGAATAGTCTTAATCTGAGAGTTGAAATGATTTGTTTACATACCTTTCTCTTCCTACCACACTGTGACTACTTAGAGGGCTGGGAGCAGTGTCTTATCCATCCCTGTATCCCTAGCACCTGGCACAGGGCTGGCACACAGTAGGTGCTCACTAAAGCTTGCTTGAATAGATGAGTCAAAGACGGTTGGGGTGGCTTAGATTGCCAAGAGAGTGGCTGTCAAAGTGTGGTTCATAGAATCCTTCTCATCCAGGCCCACTTCAGAATCACATGGGATTCTGTTAAAAATTCAGATTCCCCCGGTCCACTCCCCAGAAGCTCTGCAATGAGTAGGCATTGCAGGGACCCAGGAATTTGCATTCTTTGTGAGATCCTGAGATGATTCCGAAGCAGATCTCCATGGACCACATCCTGAAAAACTGTCCCTTGGAGGAGGGAGTGACACTGGTTGAGAAGGTTCCTTCTGATGTCCCTGGAGGGATAAGGGAGGGATCAGCCCATAAACACAGATCCTGGTTCCAACATCCATCCATCCCTCTTCACTTCATAAATGATGTGGGTCCATTTGGGCCCATGGGTGGAGAAAGCCCCAACCCCGGAACCTGGAGTATGGGACTCTCCTCATTCTTCCAGGCTGAATGTCCTCTGCTCTGGGCCCTTTGGTTTCAGCTGGGTTCAAGTTCCAGTCACTCCTCCCATTCTCACAGCACTCCCTCTCATTTTCTATGCTCCAGCCACAGAGACAAGCTCTCCTCTGCCAGAAATGCCCTCCTCTCCCTTCTCTGATGATGAACACTTCCTCACCCTTCAGCTCTCAGCTCAGGCATGACTTTCTTAAGGGAGTTTTCCTTGGAGCCCCAGGTGATCCCAGATTCCCTCTTACAGGTGCTCCTAGGACCATGGTCCCTTCCTTATCTCAGCTTTCTAAACATACATTCATCATTACTAAGATTGACTGCACTCCTCTCTTTCTGACCAGACCCTTAGCTCTGCAAGGACAGGGACTGTTTTTGGTTATGTTCATTTTTTAGCATTGGGCCTTCTCTGTGGTGGGTGTTTACTAAATATTTGTTGGAGGAATAAATGTTGGCTAATTACTCTGTAGGGCTGAGGAGGCCACAGTGTGGGTGGCCCCAGGGCCCAGGTCTAAGAGAGGCTACCTTAACCCAGCTTTGAAGGGACAGAGAATGGGCCTCAGATGGGCTGGGGGTCTCGCCTCATAGTCTGCCTCATGGCTCCCATTTCCTGATTTTCTAGGCTGTTCCCACCCACGAAGAGCTAATATGTCTAATTTCTCCAGAGACAGGGAGCTTCTTAGAGGAAGGACTGTGGCTTATTCTATCTCTAGTCCTAGCATAGTACGTGGCACATACAGGTGCTCACTGAATGAGTTGAATGCGTGGTCGATAAATGCCATGAATGGACGGTAAAATGCCTGTCGATTACAGAGCACTTCAGCATTCCCAGAGCACCTTTGCAGGCCTGTTCACACTTGAACCTCATGCCCCCCTATGGAATAGGCAAGGCAGTCTGTTCATCCCCTTCTAGCCAAAGAGTAAACAGATAACTTGCCAGGTCTCACTGGGTTTTGTTGGTTTGTTGTTTGAGACAGGGACTCTGCCTGTCACCCAGGCTCAAGTGCAGTGGTGCAACCATGACTCACTGCAACCTCTGCTTCCCAGGCTCGGGTGATCCTCCCCCTCAACCTCCAGAGTAGCTGGGACTACAGGCATGCGCCACCATACCTGGTTAATTGTTAAAAATGTTTCATAGAGACAGGGTTTCCCTATATTGCCCAGGCTGGTCTCGAACTCCTGGGCTCAAGCGATCCTCCTGCTGCAGCCTCCCAAAGTGCTGGCATTACTTTACAGGTGTGAGCAGCCGTGCCCAGCTCAGGTGCCACAGTTAATAAAAGGTGGGGAAAGTTCAGTGGAGCAGTAATGGAAGTGCAGGTTCTCCTCCAGCTTGACGTGCCCTTACTTGGGGGTCGTTTCTTACCTGGCAGGGCTGGGAGGAGATGGGTAGTTCCTGAAAGGCTGATGGAGAAAAGTGGGGAGTAGGTTACTACTCCCGTGACTGCCCAGACCTCTACCCAGACCTGTTTCCACCTGTGCCCTGAGATGGATAGGCAGCCACATGTGAGAGGTGAAGAGTCCCGGTCCCAGACTAGAACCCAAGCCAGGTCCCGAGCTGCTGCTTCCTCCACTTCACATCCTCTCAGTACTCTCAGGCTCTTGGTGCCCCTTGCTTGTCTGACATCTGGCCCCTTTTCCTTAACTGGCTGCTTTCAGCCAGCTTCTTAATTCCCTGGAGACTGAAACTGCCTGCCTTGTGACATCATCTGAGAGTGGGAGCTGGAGCCCAGGTGCCGTTTGGTGTATAGGGGCTTTCTTCTTCATCTGCAAGTGCCCAGGATCTTGTAGCACCTGGCACTGGACACCTACAGGCCTGTGGAATAACAGGAGCCTCCCAGCTGCCTCTCTTAGGTCCTCCATCTGCCTTCTCCTTTATTCCTTTCCTATTCTGTCTTTGGCTTTCAGGCCCTCAGGAGAAAAACTGGCCCACTAAGGAGCCTAAAATCCTAAGGCCTTGGATTCCAGCCCTGGGTCCAGGCACAGCTTCCCTGGTTCCTTAGGAAGGACCCCAGTGACCTGTTTATTCTCCAGGAGGCAGGGCCTGGGGGCGAAGGCATGGTCCTGCTTTGTAAGATCGGTCTGCGCAGGCAGGCTCTCCCAGGCTTCGCTAGGGCATCTCACCTTTCCCTGGAAGGTGAAGGAGGGCCCTTTGCTCCAGCTTGGTGTAACCTTGTCCCTGTCCTGCTGCCTTGGGATTAGGTTTGAGGCTGGGAAAAGGGTCTGGGGGATTTTAGGCTTACGGGAAGATCTGGAGAAAACCTAGTGGTTTCTAACATGTTGTCAGCAGCCTACCCCCTGGCTTGACTGGGTGTGCCATGCCCTTGGTTCCAGGGAGGCTGATCTGGGACAGTCAAACTCATAGCTCCTCTCCCTACAGTTCCAGAGAGGTGGATCGCATGGTTCCCCTGCCCGTTGGAGGCCTCAGCTACGTTCAAGGGTGCACCAAAAACCATCTTCTCAGCAAGACTGTGGGCCGGTGCCTGGAGGCCACAGCCCAGAGGGTCCCAGAACGAGAGGCCTTGGTCGACCTCCATGAAAACGTCAGGTTGACCTTTGCCCAACTCAAGGAGGAGGTGGGTCCTGACCTGGAAACCTCAAAGTGGGCAGGTGCTAGTTCCCAAGCTGCCCTGGCTGAGCAGAACCAGGAGCCTGGGCACCTGGCTATGGGGCAGTGTGCTAGGGCTGCCAGAGAACCCCAAGGGATGGCAGGAGGAGACAGGACTGAGGCACAGGGGGTCCAACACCTCCTGTATCAGCAGCTCCTGGAGCACTTGTTAACTATGCAGGCTCCAGGGCAGACTCACTGAGGCTGGGAATCTGCCTGTCCCTTTGTCCCCAGTCATTGTGATGAGAACTCCCGGGCTAAGGGCTGAGGGTGGGTGTCTTGGGCCTCTTCCTGCTTGCCCCATCTCACCCCTTGTGCCCATCTTTTACACCAGGTGGACAAAGCTGCTTCTGGCCTCCTGAGCATTGGTCTCTGCAAGGGTGACCGGCTGGGCATGTGGGGACCTAACTCCTATGCATGGGTGCTCATACAGTTGGCCACTGCCCAGGCGGGCATCATTCTGGTGAGGAGGGGCTTGCTTGACAGCTGGGTGTGCGTGGGGGAACATCATTCAAGGGGAGCCCCTCAGGCCCTCAGCCCCCAGGACCAAACCAGTGCTTGGTTGGTTTCAAACCAGGTTGCGCTTTCTCCTGAGGCCCACCAAGGAGGCCTCCAGGAGTTAGGGGGTGTAGAGTGCTGCCTCTATGCCTCCTGGGGGCAGAGGGGCAGCAGGAGGGACAGAGTCTGCCCAGAATACTGATAAGCCCTCACCGCTTCCACCAGGTGTCTGTGAACCCAGCCTACCAGGCTACAGAACTGGAGTATGTCCTCAAGAAGGTACAGCTCATTCATCAGGGAGGGGCCCGGCTGGGGCCTGGCACAGGGGGCTGCACAGACTCTGCTTGTCACAGAGTCTGACGGTGTGAGCTAGGGCATGCGTGGGTGGGTGACATGCAGAGTGTCCTTCCTTAGGTCATAGATGGTTGGAAGGTGGCCCCAACTCCATGGAGAGGGTGGTTGGTCAAACACAAACCTGGCGTGAGTGTGCAGGGATGGGGGCATGTGTGTGTCAGGGCAGAGGTGCATGTATGCGTGTGTGTCCATCCTCATATGTGATGCATATGTGTCTCAGGGTGTGGTGCGTGTGTCTTGGGGTTGGTTCATGTGTGCATTTGTCTTGCAGTGTGGTGCCTGGGAGTGTGCTGGAGGTGTGTGTGTCGGAGACGGGTGCCTCTGTATGAGAGCAACTGATTAGTGAGGACTCCCCCAGAGCTCTAGTCTGAGGCTCCCTGCTGACTGCAGGTGGGGGACTCCCCTTCCACAGGTGGGCTGCAAGGCCCTTGTGTTCCCCAAGCAATTCAAGACCCAGCAATACTACAACATCCTGAAGCAGATCTGTCCAGAGGTGGAGAATGCCCAGCCAGGGGCCTTGAAAAGTCAGAGGTGGGTGTGTCCCGGGTTAGTGGGTGGTGCATCATTCAGCATCCCTGATCCCTTCACTTACTACTCACCCTGCCCCCTCCCTCAGCCCCTGTTTCTCACCATCCTCCCCACCTCCAGGCTCCCAGATCTGACCACAGTCATCTCAGTGGATGCCCCTTTGCCGGGAACCCTGCTCCTGGATGAAGTGCTGGCGGCTGGCAGCACACAGCAGCATCTGGAACAGCTCCAGCACATCCAGCAGTTCCTGTCCTGCCATGACCCCATCAACATCCAGTTCACCTCGGTAAGGCAGAGGTCTCCAGGCCCCAAGCCCAGGTGGACACATGCCCCCTGCCTCTGTGACACTTCCGCAGGGATGGGGAGACAGCAGAGGAGAGCAGGCATTCTTTACTGAGACTGGCCTTCAGCTGTCCTCTCTGCTCTGGAAAATATCAGCACCTGGTGTCCTTGTCACATTTCCTCCCCCAGCCCCCTGCCCTCTCCACTCCAGCCCTCTTGTTCACGGTGCAGTGGCAGCTTCACTGAACCAACACAGGTTAGAACTGCTAGAGGCTGCCCCTCATTTAGCTGATGGGGAATCAGAGACCCAGAGAGAGAATTTGCCCAAGCCAGCTTGTGGGAGGCAGAGTTCTCTGGGCCATATAGGTGGCATGAGAACGGAGACCTTATCTTCTGCATTGCTGGACCCTGACACCTGGCATTGTGGTAGACCTTTTGCAAATATGAAACTGAACAGATGGATCTGGGGCAACAATCCCTGTCTCCTGATTCCTGGTCCAGTGCTCTTCAAGGCAGTGGCCCAGGGTGGGAAGGAGATGAGGAGGAGGCCAAGCCATGCCCTGCTTGCCTTGTCAGGGGACAACAGGCAGCCCCAAGGGGGCCACCCTCTCCCACTACAACATTGTCAACAACTCAAGCATATTAGGAGAGCGCCTGAAACTGCATGAGAAGGTGAGGCGGCTCTAGGCCCAGGGCAAGGCTGCAGGAGGGGTGGCTCAGGCAGGGGTGGGGGGCTGGCTGGGCTCCCCTTGCCAGCTAGAGGAACTGGCTTCTGGTTCCAAGACAGACCCAGCCTCCTGTCTCCATCACCAGACACCAGAGCAGTTGCGGATGATCCTGCCCAGCCCCCTGTACCATTGCCTGGGTTCTGTGGGAGGCACAATGATGTGTCTGATGTACGGTGCCACTCTCATCCTGGCCTCTCCCGTCTTCAATGGCAAAAAGGCACTGGAGGCCATCAGCAGAGAGAGGTGGGCACTGGTGAACAGGCTACTTGTAGGCTGATAAAACCCTCTTGTTCCTCACTCCTGGGCCCTGACACCTTTCCGAGCTGCCTCCTCCCGCCAGCCAGGAGACTGGGGATGGGGACAGTGGAGGACCCCCAGGAGAGGACCAGTTCCTGCCTCAGGAGCGTCTCCTGCCTGTTCCCTTTGCTGCAGTTTCATGGCGGGGTGGGTGAGAAGAGGGAGTTCCCTTCCACTTCCAAGCCTAATTTCGAGACCTCCTCCTATACAGAGGCTCCTTCCTGTATGGTACCCCCACAATGTTCGTGGACATTCTGAACCAGCCAGACTTCTCCAGTTATGACATCTCGACCATGCGTGGAGGTGGGGTGGGGCCAAGGGCAGCCAGGCATGGGGAGGGGGCTGCTTCCCCTACAGGAATGGCCTGGGTGAGTTAGCTCCCAGTCTTTTATTTAGGGGGCAGGAAGGACACTGTAAAAATGTGGGTGGGAGGGAGGGAGATCCCCAGTGTCCCGGGACACCAGCCCAGGGCCAGCTGCCAGGTGTAGGAAAGGCGTGGGTCAGGGGAGAAAAGGGAAGGTTCCTCCCTCGAATGAGCTGTAGGTGAAAGGACTCCACTGGGCCTGGAGAAGTGGGGAGCTGTGTCAGCCCCTCTCTCTGTGATTCAGGTGTCATTGCTGGGTCCCCTGCACCTCCAGAGTTGATCCGAGCCATCATCAACAAGATAAATATGAAGGACCTGGTGGTGAGTGGTGACCGGGGCCCGGGCTGTGGGCAGGCCAGGCCTGGGATGACAACAGATTGACAGACACGGGGATGAGCCCAGGCCAGATGTTCAAAGGCGACCCTCGCAGCCAGCCCGCCCTCCCTCCAGAAAGCAGATGTGATAAAAGATAGTCTGACCTCATCAGCACCTGGTGGGTGAAGGAAATAGGTGGCAGGGGACTAAATATCATACATACATACATTTATATTTATAGAAATCTCAGGAAGAAATTGCAGCATGGGAAGATGGCAGCAAAGCACCGATGTCCTGCTAGAATGTCCTGGCAGGTGGGGGCTGGCAGAGTTGGGGCATGGGCTTTAAAACCCTTTCTGGAAGCAAGGGGTGGGGCAAGGATCTGATGATTGTTGCCACGTGGCAGGGAAAGAGGAACAGAGGAAGGATGATCCTGGAAGGGTGGCCATCCTGATGACCAACCTGTTGTGGCTCTGATTGACTTGGGGGGGGTCTCAGCAACAGCTTCTCTGAGAGGAGCTGGAGGGTGGGGAAGGCATGATGGCTGGGGAGGGGCTCAGCCTTCCTTCTCCCCAGGACACTGCTGGGTGGAACTGGGTTGGTAGTGGAGTGCCCGAGGCCCCCTGCCAGGACGTGTCTAGGTGTGGGCAGCTCTGTGCATCAGCAGAGGCTGTGGGGAGAAGGTAGGGGTGGAAGTGGGAAGGTCAGTAGTCTCTCCGGTGGAAGGCAGTGGCCAGTCACCAGGACTGGCTGAGTCAGAACCTGCAAGGAGGCAAGGATCGATGTCAGTACTCCAGCAACCCAGATAATGCTTGGAGAAAATGATGGAAGTCCTGGGCAGGAGCTTTTCCTCCCTTTGAAAGGGGCCCCAGTCCTCCCCTCCTCTCTCTGTAAAAATGGAGGGTCTGCCTGCCCCTCCAGTGGGAGGGAGTACCCTGGAAGATACCAGCTCACTTGCTGGAATCGCCAAAGAGGGATATAGGGGACCTGTTTACCCAGCCCCCACCTGTTTAATGGCGGCCAGCTTTCTTGGACCTCTTGGTAGGGAACTTGCAGCTGCGGAAGGCGTCCGTGTCACGGATGTGTTGGCCCTTGAACTTGGCAGGTGAGGCACAGGTGGCATCTGGGCGGGAGGCCTTGGCTTCCAGCCACCTGGAGAGACAGAAACTTGCTGGGTCTGGGGAAGAAGGTGGGAGTGCTGAGGGGAAGGGCAGTGAACTATGGGACCAGGATTGACTTGGCCACAGGATAGTCTGAAGCTGTCATCTTCATTTTACAGATAGGGAAACTGAGGCTCCCAGGGTCCCATGCCTATTAGGTAGCAGATCTAGGATGCATGTCCAACATGTCTTAGTGCAGGGCTAATGTGTCTCTATCACATGAGGGTGGGCTCTGGGAGTGACATGGGGGTGTTCTTACCGCCGAAGACCCCGGAGCTGGCAGGTACACTTCCAGGGGTTGTTGGTAAGGGTGAGGGTCTCCAGGCTGTCGAAAGGGAAGTTGGAGGGCAGGTGGTTCAGGCGGTTGTTCTCCAAATGGGCGTGTTTCAGTGTGGTTACACCCAGGAAGGCACCATCTGAGAACTGGGGAGCAAGGTGGTCATGAGTGAATGAGTGAGCACCCGAGCGCCAGAGGGGCAGTGTCCTTCCTGGAACCTGAGCCATAGCGCTTTGAGGAGTTTCCCGGTTTTCAAAGCAGTGTGACCAAGTGGTCTCAGATGATCCAATCTTCACAACCCTCTTTGAGACAGGTGGTGTTATTTTCTTTTCTTTTCTTTTCTTTTCTTTTTTTTTTTTTTGAGACAGAGTCTTGCTGTGTTGCCCAGGCTGGAGTGCACTGGCACGATCTCGGCTTACTACAACCTCCACCTCCCGGGTTCACACCATTCTCCTGCCTCAGCCTCCCGAGTAGCTGGGACTACAGGCTCCCACCACCACACCCAGCTAATTTTTTGTATTTTCAATAGAGACATGGTTTCACCGTGTTAGCCAGGATGGTCTCGATCTGCTGACCTCGTGATCTGCCCGCCTCAGCCTCCCAAAGTGCTGGGATTACAGGCGCGAGCCACCGCACCCAGCCGGTTGTGTTATTTTCAATATGCAAATGGGGAAACGGAAAAAGTGCTGTTCTTTGCCCTGGGTCACAGCAGTGGGTAAACAGTAGCCACAGGACCACACCCAGCTCCTCTTCCCCTGGCACCACAATCCCTGCACAAACACTGGGACTGTGGAGCTGCCAGAGTTTGGCCCCAGCAACCCACACTGGTACATGGTGAACTTGGTCTGTGCTTAGTGGAGTGGGCAGTGGGCCCAGGCTCCCCACAGTCCCAGGGTCCCAGGACTTCCCCCAGCTCTGTCCTCACTGCTCCCCCACTGCCAGCCAGACGCTATTTGTGAAGCCACCTTGGTGGAGCCTTTGGCCAGGTTGGACGGCTCCAGAGGAAATGTTCTATTGGTGCCCACACCTTTGCCCAGGCGCCACAATTCCTGTCTGGCCTCCCCTGCCCCAAACCAACCCCTGATTCGCCACTCTGCTGCCCACTGAAAGACCACTCTGGCACTGGTGGGCCACAGGGGACTCCAACTTCAGCTGGGGAGAGGCAGGGCTGAAGAAGGGCAGGTTTGAGCAGGCTCCATCCACCCAAACAAAGGTTGGCTGCTGCCCAAGTGAGATTCTGCCCACATCTCCACACCCGCGCCCTCTCCTGTGGCCCACATTGAGGTATGAAGGTCTCCAGTAACCAGACTCTCCTCTACCTTGTTGGTCCCCACCCACACCTCCTGGCTGAAGGCCCTGTACCAGGGTGATTTTTCCAGTCCCAGAGAAGGGATTCTGCTCGGATCCAATGTAGCCCCAGCTGGCCAGACACTGGGCACCCCAGGGGAGAAAGGAATGAGTGAGGAAGCAGATAGGAGATGAGTCTAGTGACGGGGGAGGGGAAAGGGCAGTCAGCAGTCTGGAGACAGTGAGGCATGCCAGTCTTTCCTATGGAGAGACACCTGGGGTCTTGTGCCAAGGATTGACAATAGTGGTCTTGCCTTTGCCCCTTCACGGAGCCCATGGGCCTGATGCTTGCAGCCTGGGGGAGCCCTTGGTCCCATGCCTACTGAGCTGCAATGGACTTGAGAATGCAATGAATTGTGTCTGTGTGAATTGGGCAGGGCCATCCACCGGGGCCTCTGTGGGGCATGGAGAATGTCTTCCTCAGGCATTTGCTTCCCCTCACTCCCCAGTCCCCCACTCCCCCTTAGCACACATGCACAGCCTCCACCAGGAACAGGGTCTCTTTGTGGGCCTGATCTGCCCAGCTCCTCTAGAAGGCTCCTCAATAAACAAACCTTCCTTTATGGGGTGGTAGGTTTACTGGAGACGGGAAAACAGCAGAGGAGGGGTGGAAGGCCCAACAGGAAGAGGTGGCTGCTGCCCGCAGTGGGGGGTTTGGGAGCACTGGAGATGGCCCTAGGGGGCCATTTGTGGGGCCAGGGCAGCCCCACTCCTTTTATATGTAAGAATCCTAGAAGGGCAGTGGCCGAGACTGGCAGCCGACAGGGATGAGGGTAGGGATGTGACAAGGTGAGGAAGGGAGGTGGCAGAGCTGTTCACCTTGGAGATAGCCAGAGGGACAGGGAACCTGGGGACAGGGGTTGGTGCCAGCTGTGGCTCTGGCTCCTGGGGCCTCCAGGAAGGGAAGAAGGAACCAGGGCAGAGCCTGCAGCCAGGAGCTCACCTTCTCCAGGTTGGTGTTGTCCAGCCAGAGGGTCTCCAGGTATCTGCCAAAGGACTGGAAGGCATTGTCCGGGATGCTTTTCAGGGGGTTGTGGGACAGCTTCAGCTCCTCCACCACCCGTAGCTTGCTCAGGGCAGCCGAGGGGTAGCTGGACAACTGGTTCCTGTCCACGTGGAATTTGGCGAGGTTCTCCACGTCGTCCAGGGCACCGGGCTGCAGGGAGCTCAGCGCGTTTTCCGACAGGTAGAGCCAGCGCAGGTCCTTGGCTCCCTGGAAGGCGCCTGCGCGCAGCTCACGGATTTTGTTGTTGTTGAGCTGCAAGATGAAGAGGTTGACCAGCGGGGAGAGCAACCCCCGGGGCAGCTCGGTGACCTTGTTGTGGTCCAGGTAGAGGTAGGTCAGCTCGGTCAGGTCGTCGAAGGCACCTGCGCGCAGCACGCGGATGTCGTTATGGGACAGGTACAAGTAGATAAGCTGCTTGAGGCCGCGGAAGGCACCGGCGGCCACCTCGCGAATCTGGCAGTGCTGCAGGTGCAGCGACACGAGGTTCGGCATGGCCCGAAACGAGTTGGCAGCCAGCACCGGAAAGTTGTTGCGCTGTAGGTTGAGCAGCTTGGTCTTCTCTGATACCTTGGGGATCTTCTGCAGCCCCACCTTGTCGCAAATGACGTGCTGCAGGTCGCCGTGGCAGTGGCAGTTCTGGGGGCAGGCGGCCAGCGCCGGCAGCAGACCAGCCAGGAGGCCGAGGCTGAGCAAGAGCATTGGGCTGGCCATGGCCAGGACTCCTGGGGCCGGGGCTGGGGGCAGCAGCGGCGGCGGGGCGCGGGCAGCGGCGAGTCCTGGGCGCTCGGGTCTGCCGCCCTCTTTATACGGTGGCCCTGACCGCAGCCGGCAGCCGAGCCAGCTCCTACGTGGAGCATCGAGGCCACTGGGCTTAACTCGCTCGCGCCCAGAGATGCGCCCCCGCCCTCCACGGGGAAGGAGGCGGGGCCCTTCCCCCAGCCGGCGACCGTGCATGGGGGCGTGGGACCGTGGCCCCCGATCCCCGGCTCTAGCCCCCTGCTCTCCTGTGCTGCTCCTCTGCCAACCGCCTTTCCCGGGGCTTTTCTGGGAAGGGGGAATTGTTATGTCTGGAGCCCCGAGTTTACATCGTAGAGAGGGAGGTGTTCCCTGAACTTATTTGTTTGCTCAAGTTTGAGCCTCCACGCCGCACCATCCACACACGCTCGGCCGGGTGCCCTGGATGCGAGGCGGGAGGAAGCGGGACCGGACAGCCGGACGCGTCTCCCCGTGGTGGGCCAGCTGGCGGAGCTTTAATGGGGTGCTTGTGCAGCGCCGGCCGAGCGTGAGAGCCGCCCCGGCGTGGGGCTCCCACTTCGGACGCGCCGAAGTTGGCCCTGGGGAGACCCGAGCTCTTTCCCCACCCTGGGGCGCGCCCCCACCCCTCTCTCCCAACCCTGCTTGCGCCCCCATCCCCTTTTTCCACAGCTGAAGGCTGAGCAAAAAAGTGGGAAGTCGGGGAGGGTGGCCAACGGGAATGGCAAACACACCTGGAAACCACAGGCCACAAGCACAGTCTCACCATCCTCCCTCCTTCATCGCCCCGAAATATCCCCATCCCTCATCCCCAACCCTAGTGGTCAGGACCCGCCCCGAGGGGTCTCAGGGTGGCGGCTGAGTGGCGCCGAGGTGTACTTGGCAGAGGCCACATTCGGGCAGTGGCCCCAGGACTGTGAGGACGGGTGCGGGAGGGGGCGGGGCAGGTCGAAGGACCAGCCCTGGACGGCTCTGGCTGCCAGACCCTAAGTTCTGTGGGCAGTCCCGCCCCAGCCCGCCAGATTTCTCTGTACCCACTTGCCAGCCACGATGTCCGGATTCCTGTGGAAAGGGGAGGGTGAACAGGCAGGGTCACAGCTCCGGCCTCAGGGTAAGCTCCAAGCTGCCTGGCACAGGATATTGTCTGTGAAGGGTGGAGGGAGAAACCAGACCCCACATTGAACCAAACCCCAGTCGTGTCAGAGCCAGAGCAGCTGATATGGGGGAAGCTTGGTGCAGGGAGGAGGATGGATGAGATCTGGTGTCCGTTGATGAAAAGGGACCTAGGACATGCCGTAGCTAGCCTCTCTCCCCTTACCCAGTACCCTCGTGTTGGGGCCTGATTTCCAGCGCCTGCCCTTTTCCCAAACCCCTCTGCCCCCTTGCCTCTAGGATAGGGGGGTCATACTTGGCCTAGACCATTCCTTGATGGTATTTAGGCTTCTCCAAGGCCGGCTTCTGGTTTTTCTGTTGCTCAGGCTTTCCAACCACTGGAAATGGGGGAGGTGGGGGGGTGCCACTGGTTTTTAAAATCACTGCTTAGGTTGTTTTTTATTTTGATGGAAATAAATTCACGGGAAACTCTCCAGAGCTTGGGGGACGCCTGCCCCAAGGCCAGGCACTTGTTCAGGGTTTGCGGAATGGGGAGGGGGGTGGGTTGTGTTTGTGCCACTCCTAGCTGGGCCAAGGCAGGCTGGCTTTCTCATCAAGTATATGGGGCCTTTGGCTTGGAAGCGAGGGGCAGGGGGTGTGGCCTGAAATCAGGAAGGTGGGGTTAAGGCAGCCAGGGGATGGGGGAGAGAAGGGTGGAGTGATCGTAATACCGGAGCCACAGGCACAGACAGGTGGCTGCTCCAAGGAAATGGGGCACTGAGAGAGCTCCAGCTGGAAGAGAATGGTGTCCCTGCTCTCAAGTTTCCTTCAGATCTGGGGCCCTGCAGAGATCTAGCCTGCTCACTCCCAGCATCTCTGCCTCCTGACCCCAGGCCCCTACCAGTGATGTCTCTGTTTCCACCATTCAGCTGCCCTCCACTTTCCCTTTTCTTTTATGAATTCCTTCCCATTTCCCCAGATAGCTCACCTGATCCCTCTGCATGTGCTGAGCCCTCTTCAGGCACCCTTTCTGGACCCTCTAGGTTGCTTATGGAACCACAGAGAACAGTCCCGTCACATTCTCGAACTTCCCTGAGGACACTGTGGAGCAGAAGGCAGAAAGCGTGGGCAGAATTATGCCTCACACGGAGGTGAGCCCCTGACCAAGACTCCAAAGCCCTACCTCCCATCACCCAACTGGGGTGCACCCAGCTGGGACATCTGTTGCTTTTAGTGAGAGAGCCAAATGGCTCACTCAGGATGCCTAGAGCTCCCCAGCAGCAGCGGTGTGCTAGGCCTGGCCTGGAGCGTTCTCTGTGGGCTAAGCATGAAAGGGGGAAAGCTGGAACAGTGGCTGTGAGCGGCTGCCAGCTGAACTTCTCCGCAGCCTCCCTTCCTGTCTGAGGTGTGTTTTTGCCAAGCCCACTGTCTGTTTCAGGGCAGCCAGGGTAGCCTCAAAGAGAAGCCAGAGCACAGAGAGTTTTCCTACATAGCTTCTTTTCCTCCAGTGGTCCCCGCCTCTCGCTTTAGCAGAGTTTCTCTTCTTGCTTGGCATAAACACTTCATTTCTCAAGCAGCCTATCCCTTTAGGGGGGTCCCTTTGCCCCTCAAATGTTGCCCCAGAGTGCATCTCAATCTTAAATGCCCAGCCATGCCTCCTTTCCTGCTCCAACACTGGGGCTGTGCCAGCTGGCTCCTGATTTCCCCTGCACCCTTCTGCTCCCGCCCCTGGGGGATTGCTGCCCCTGTGCACAAGTAGCTGCTTCCGCTGGTGCTGACCACTGTCCTGGTGTGAATATGCCCTTCCCTCCTGCCAGAGCAGCCCTGTACCCAGGGTTTGAGTAGGGATGTGAGCCCCCTCCCATGTGTCCTACAGCTGCATTGCCATTCTCACTAGGATGCTCACCTGGAAGGGAAACAGGGGCAGACATCACTCACCCCATTTCACAGATGCAGACACTGAGGCACATGGAGGCTCAGCTTTCCTTGGCACGGTGGCCATGGCTCTTTGCTCTACCAGACTTTCAGACTGTGCCTCTCCTATTCACATGGTGTTGCCATGCCACCCTCTTTGGCTTATTTGCTGCTTAATGGGAAGTAAGAGGAGACTCCCTTCTCCTCTGCACAGTTTATAATTCTTTGGCTGGTTCTGCAGTCCACAGACCTCTTTCTTTGCAGCAGCTGCCTGCCTGCTCTGTTTCCTCCGCACTCCCAGCTTGGGCCTCAGCTCTTCTTTCATGCCCAGCTCAGGTCTCTGACTGGCTTTGGGTCGACTCTAGCCTTTGTCTCCCTTCTCTGGATGGGGACAGGCAGAGCCAGGGGGCCTCATTTCAGGTGGTTGAGTTGGGGGGCTGAGAGCAGGCAAAGCTCTCTCCATTTCCGAGGACCACCTATGCTGAAGCAAGAGGATAGGAAGCCCCAACCTGAGGCTGTCCTGTCCCAGGCCCGGATCATGAACATGGAGGCGGGGATGCTGGCAGAGCTGAACACGCCCGGGGAGCTGTGCATCCGAGGGTACTGCGTCATGCTGGGCTACTGGGGCGAGCCTCAGAAGACAGAAGAAGCAGTGGATCAGGACAAGTGGTATCGGACAGGGTGAGAAGGCAGGGCGGGGTGGAGGCTCTGGCTGCTGAGGGGAGGCTGGAGGTCTTGAGGCTGAGCTGGGAACATTAACCTGGCACTGTGAGGATGTGGGTATCAAGATGACCCCTCACATGCAGGAGACTTAATTTCCAAAATGTATATGGTGGGGATGATCATACATAGCACAGAAGAAATCAACTGGGTCATCATCCTACACCAGCAGCTGCAAAAGCTGAGTCCAGATTCAGTCACTCATACTCATTTGTTAGCTCAGCAAATTCTTATTAGAATTCCTTATGTGCTAGCACTGTTCTCGCCGCTGGAGGTCCAGAGGAAAGTAAGATGAGAAGGATCCTCTTTTTGGAGGAAGACAGATGATGCCTGACATCGATAAATAACACCAAGAAAATAGGCCAGGCACGGTGGCTCACACTTGTAATCCCAGCACTTTGGGAGACCGACGCAGGTGAATCACATGAGGTCAGAAGTTCGAGACTAGCCTGGCCAACACAGCAAAACCCCACCTATACTAAAAATACAAAAATTAGCCAGGCATGGTGGCGCATGCCTGTAGTCCCAGCTACTCGGGAGGCTGATGCAGGAGAATCGCTTTAACCTGGGAGGTGGAGGTTGCAGTGAACTGAGAACGTGCCACTGCACTCCAGCCTGTACGACAGAGCAAGACTCCATCTCAAAAACAAACAAACAAACAAAAAACACCAAGAAAATAAAATAAGGTTATAGGAGAGAGAGTGGCTGTGGTGGGGAGGGGAGCTTCCCTTAGACTGAGTGGACAGAGAAGATGCCAGGAAACATTTGAGTTGAGACCCCGAAAGAAGCCAGTCGTGAAAAGCATATGTATAGATATGTTGAGAGAGAGAGAGAGAGAATATGTTATAGGTATTGGTTTGTATTTGTCTGCCTCCTCTCCCCTTACTAGACTATTAATTCCAGAGACTGTGTCTTGTTCCTGCTATGTCTCCCAGAGTCTAGAGCAGTGGAAGACACACAGTAGGTGGTCAATAAATGTTTCAGGAGTGAGCAAGCAAGTGAGTGAACAAGGCAGAGGCGACAGGTCGCCCCTGGGCTTTCCTTACAGAGATATCGCCACAATGAATGAACAGGGCTTCTGCAAGATTGTGGGCCGCTCTAAGGATATGATCATCCGGGGTGGTGAGAACATCTACCCCGCAGAGCTCGAGGACTTCTTTCACACGCACCCAAAGGTGCAGGAAGTGCAGGTGAGGCACCCGGCTCAGGTGAGCCCCCAGAAACAGGAAACACACATGAACAAGGTGATGTCTGATACTTTTCCCTGGCCCTGGAAGGTCGTGGGAGTGAAGGACGATCGGATGGGGGAAGAGATTTGTGCCTGCATTCGGCTGAAGGACGGGGAGGAGACCACGGCGGAGGAGATGAAAGCTTTCTGCAAAGGGAAGGTGGGAGCCTCCGCCCAACCAAGCTGATGCTGCTTGGTTCTTTGTTCGCCCGCTCCTCTGCCAACCAGCCTGGGGTGGGGGTTGCTCTGCCCTCGACGAAGCTGACTCCCGGCCAAGCCAGCCCCTGGTCCCCTTCCCATACCCCTGTGAGCTTGCCCAGCCTCACGCCTTACCTCCCTCCCTCTGGTCTGCAGATCTCTCACTTCAAGATTCCGAGGTACATCGTGTTCGTCACAAACTACCCCCTCACCACTTCAGGAAAGGTGTGTAAGGTGAAGGAGACTGGGGAGGGCAGCCTGGGCTCTGGGGTCCCATGGGGCCCCACCTCTGTTTGCTTCAGCAATGGGTGTGGAGAGGCTGGCAGTAGGGTGACCAAGTCACCTAATCCTGGTTTGCCTGGGGACTTTCCCTGTTTTGGCACTAAAAGCCTGAGAAACCCCTTATTCTTGGGCATACAAAGACAGTTGGTCACCCTAACTCCTTTTTCTTTCCTCTAGATCCAGAAATTCAAACTTCGAGAGCAGATGGAACGACATCTAAATCTGTGAATAAAGAGGGAGGAAGGGTCTGCCCAGGCCCTCCTCCTGTCCATCCTCCATACTCCCCTTGTCTGTCCTTGTGATTTGGCATAAAGAGCTTCTGTTTTCTTTGGCCTCTTGCTGGTGGGCTCTCTTGGCAGCTCCTGTGGGATGGAGAAGGGAAGACACTGAGGGAAACTAGCACTTTCAGACCTCCTATTCCTTGTCATTGAGAGTGCAGAGCACCTTGATGTGGATTATCTACCTAATTTAACCCTCACCCTTGGTAACCCTTTGAGATACCAACCCATTTTTGTTGTTGTTTTTTGAGACGGAGTCACCCAGGCAGGAGTATAGTGGTGCAATCTCAGCTCACGCAACCTCTGCCTCCCAGATTCAAGTGATTCTCCTGCCTCACCCTCCCATGTAGCTGGGATTACAGGTACCCACCACTACCCCCAACTAATTTTTGTATTTTTAGCAGAGGCGAGGTTTCACCATGTTGGCCAGGCTGGTCCTCAAACTCCTGACCTCAAGCAATCTGCCTGCCTCAGCCTCCCAAAGTGCTGGGATTACAGGCATGAGCCACTGTGCCTGGCCCCAATTTTTTATTTTTAATATACTCTAATTTAATTCTTTTTCACATTGTTGCCAGATTAGTCTAGCAAGAAGTATTCTTTTATATATATATAATGGCTTGATTGAGATATAATTCACATACTATCCAGTTCACTCACCCCTCCCCCGTTTTTTAGAGACAGCATCTCATTCTGTCACCCGTGCTGGAGTGCAGTGACATGATCATAGCTTACTGCAGCCTCACACTCCTTGGCTCAAGCAGTCCTCCCACTTCAGCCTCCTGAGTAGCTGGGACTGTAGGAACCGTGCCACCATGTCTAACTAGTTTTTAAACATCTTTTTGTAGAGACAGGATCTTGCTATTTTGCCCAGTCTGGTCTAGAACTCCTGGGCTCAAGCAATCCTCCTACCTCAGTCTCTAAAAGTGCTGGGACAATCCACCATTTAAAGTATAGAATTCAGTGGTCTTTAGTATATTCACAAATATGTATAACTATCACCACAGTCACTTTTAAACATTGTCATCACCTAAGAAAGAAACCCCATACTCTTTAACTATTATCTCCCATCCCCAGCCCCCTTCCTCCCCAACCAGCCTCATTTTTATTTTTTATTTGTTTTGATTGGTGAACCTGGGGCATCCCTAGTAGGCAGGGCCAGATAAAGCGGGTTGTACCTTGACCCAAGAAATAAAAACAGCTGAGTTCCAAAAGGCACATAGGTTCCCAGCTCACAGGAATGGAAACTTGCCTCCTGCCTGCCCCCTTATCTCCCAGCATGCCTGGCCCCTTACCTCCCAGCATGCCTGCCCCCTTACCTCCCAGGGTGCCTGCCCCCTTACCTCCCAGTGTGCCTGCCCCCTTACCTCCCAGCATGCCTGCACAAAGCAGCAGCAGCCTCCTCTTAACTTTTTCAGAAATGAACATAGGTTTAAGGTACTTTCAGTACCAGTCTCTAGGCTAGGTATTTTCACATTATTTTGTCTCCAAATCTTCCCAACAATCCTATCAAGTAGCCATTGGTCCCACTTCACGAATGACCGAACAGAAACTCAGGGAGGTTCAGTATCTTGCTCAAGGTCGCACAGCTGGATCAGAACCCAGCTGTCTGTTAAGCAGGTTCACTGCACACTGGTTACCAACTTGTCAAAGTCCAGTGAGGTGAACACCCACAAGTTACATAACGCTGAGTCCAGTGAGGTAAACACAAGGGACATGCAGTGTGTTTATTACTTATAGGTAGGCAGTAAGGGACAACAGAAGGCTGGGATTTATTTGGAGCTGGACCCCTAAGGCTCAGGAAAACTGCTGAGGCAGATGGGGGATGCACTGTCATCTGCGCATGCCCGACTTTTTTTTTTGTTGGTTTGTTTGTTTTGAGATGGAGTCTCGCTCTTTTACCGAGGCTGGAGTGCAGTGGTGTGAACACTGTGATTCAAGCAATTTTCCTGCCTCAGCCTCCCTAATAGCTGAGATTATAGGCATGCACTACCATGTCCAGCTATTTTTTTATTTTATTTTTTTTAGTAGAGACAAGAGGTTCGCCATGTTGGCCAGGCTAGTCTTGAACTTCTGACCTCAGGTGATCCACCCGCCTCGGCCTCCCAAAGTGTTGCAATAACAGGTGTGTGCCAACACGCCCAGCCAGCCAGACTTGTACTGAAGTGAGGGACCCCAGAAACCAGCCTGCCCTGTTTTTTGTTTGTTTGTTTGATACAGAGTCTCACTCTGTCTCCCAGGCTGGAGTGCAGTGGCACGATCTGGGCTCACTGCAACTTCGGCCTCCCAGGTTCAAGCAATTCTCCGGCCTCAGCCTCCCGGGTAGCTGGGACTACAGGTGCGCACCACCACGCCTGGCTAGTTTTTTGTATTTTTAGTAGAGCTGGGGTTTCACTGTGTTAGCCAGGGTGGTCTCAATCTCCTGACATTGTGATCTGCCCTCATCGGACTCCCAAAGTGCTGGTATTACAGGAGTGAGCCACCTCGCCCAGCTTCCGCCCTGGGTTTTATACCCTGAGGCCATGTGACATGTTGGGCTGAAGTGCTGAAGGACATCCTTTTTCTAGGGGGACTGGAACAGAGCATGGCTGTGCTGGCCAGACCTTCCTTCCTTCAGGATGTTGCATTCTCTGCACACTCTACAGTTTTATTTATTTATTCATTGAGACAGAGTCTTGCTTCGTCACGCAGGCTGGAGTGCAGTGGCATTGTCTCAGCTCACTGCAACCTCTGCCTCCCAGGTTCGAGGGATTCTCCCTGCTCAGCCTCCTGTGTAGCTGGGATTACAGGTGGCCACCACCACGCCTGGATAATTTTTGTATTTTTGGTAGAGACGGGGTTTCAGCATGTTGGGTAGGCTGGTCTTGAACTTGTGATCTCAAGTGATCTGCCCGCCTCGGCCTCCAAAGTGCTGGGATTACAGGCATCTACAGTTATTCTCGAGAACTACAAGCAAGAAAGGAGGGGAGAACCAGGTCAGTTCAAGGCCACTGGGAGAACTGTCCTGCACCGCCTGCCTCTGAAGCCCATGATGTTTCTGCTTTGTGGGACGGTTCTTCAGGTGCCTGCTTCCCCAGGCCTTCCCCTGTGCTGTCTCTCCTGCACACACCATCTGACTGTCCTCCCAGCACATACACCTCCAGATGCTTGGGTTGCCCTGACCCAAAACAGTCTTCTCTCCCGGCCAAGCCAATTGCCCCTGGGATTTTCTGCTCCTCCAAGATCCAGCGCATAGCCCTGGTGGTGGCTCATGCCAGTACAATCCTTGGTTACTCCGATACTGAGGCAGCAGGATCGCTTGAGGCCAAGGAGTTCAAGACTCTCCCAAATATTTTTAAATGAAATTAAAAGAAAGATCCAGCCCAAGTGCCTCTTCTCCCTTACTGACTCCCACACTCTTATAACAGATGACCTCACAGCACTGGGCGCACGGCTCTGGTGTCCAGCAGGCAAGGAATTAATTAAGCCTTGCCTGTCCTGGCCGGTTGGCTTACCTCTCTCTTGTCAGAATGCAACCTGGCTTTGTGCACCTAGATGTCCCCAGCGCCCAGTTCTAAGCCAGGCACGTCAAATGTCAAGGAATTGACTGAACTAAGAGCTCCTGGATGGGTCCGGGAACTCGCCCGGGCACACGGTGCCAAAAGGCAGGCAGCCCGCCCCGCGGACTGGGTAAAGAACCGACAGGCGGCCGCGGTGAGCGCCCGGGCGCCCGACAGGTGGCGCCGCAGCCCCGGGCCCGGGCCCTCTCGGCGCGCGGTCACGCAGCCCCTCTTCCTTCCGCCGGCTCCGGACTCACAGTGAGCCCTGCGCGCGTCTCTTACTCGGGTCTGTGCCCCGCGTCGCGCTGGGCGCCATGGCGCTCCCCGGCGCCCGGGCCCGTGGCTGGGCGGCAGCAGCCAGAGCGGCCCAGAGGCGCCGCCGCGTGGAGGGCGCAGGAGGGTCCCCGAGTCCTGAGCCTGCGGGCCGGCGCGCGGCGCTTTACGTACACGTGAGTAAGGGCGGGGGCGGAGCCCGCGGTGTGTGGCCGCAGCGTTGGCCGTGACCGTGGCGGTCCAAAACCGAGGTGGCGGCTTGTCACTCTATGAACCCGCCTGCCGTGTTTCCGTGCCCCCGTACGAGGTCTGGGATGGGACCCGGTGCCTTGGCAGGGAAATGACTTGGTACAGAAACCTGAAGTCTCTGCTTCTCACCAGCTCGGTGACTGACCAAATGGTTCAAATTTCACAACCTCTTAGCAAGACAAATGTTTTTTAAGAGCAGTGTTCTGATTCGGTAGCTGGGAAAATGACCCGTAGGAAAATTGTATGAAAATTCTTTGATCCCAGAAAGAACTTGGATTGAGTTCCTTCCTGACGTCTGCTGGTTGGAAGAGTCAGCGTTTAACAAAGGAGTGAGCCTCAGTTTTCTCACATTGAAGTGGATATAATAACCCCAGTGCGACTGCCTTGGGGAGTTGGGTGGCTTAGATGTCCTAGCTACTGTGGAAGGACCTCGGGATGGGGGTGGGGATGGGGTTGGGGATGTGTGCCACTAAACCCTGGAAGTGGCCAGGGCAGCTCTCACCGTGCATCTGCACCCACTGCTCCCAGTGGCCTTACTGCGAGAAGCGCTGCAGTTACTGTAACTTCAACAAGTACATCCCTCGCGGCGTAGAGGAGGCTGCCATGCAGAAGTGTCTGGTGACCGAAGCGCAGACGCTGCTGCGGCTCAGCGGGGTGCAACGGTGGGTAGTGGGGGCTGTAGGCAGCATTTTGGGAATTATTTGGAGGAGTGGTAGGGGATAGGTGCAGGCATCCCTGAGGGCTCCCCCAGGTCTCATTTCTCCATCCTCTTTCCCCAGGGTGGAGTCTGTGTTCTTTGGTGGGGGGACTCCCAGTCTAGCCAGTCCCCACACGGTGGCTGCTGTCCTGGAGGCTGTGGCACAGACAGCCCACCTGCCTGCAGACTCGGAAGTCACATTGGAGGCTAATCCCACTTCAACTCCAGGCTCCAGACTGGCAGAGTTTGGGGCAGCAGGGGTCAACAGGTTGTCCATAGGCCTCCAGGTAACCCATGGCACCCAGCCCAGCCCATCCCAGTGCACCCTGCCCTTCATTGGTATCTCCTCTTTGGTCACATTCATTCATTGGACAGACATTGATTGAGCACATTCTGGGTGCCAGGGACACAGTAGGGCCTAGTGTGACACTTTTGTAACTCCTTAATTGTCTGCTGCTGTCATAGACCACAAACTTCATGAGAAAGGATCAGGTGTGGCTTTTCTATTTCAAGCACCCACCATAGTGCCTGGCACATAGTAGGTAGTCAAAAAGGATTTGCTACATGACTGGAGACATGGGGGATGCAGACATGTAGCCAGATTATTGCAGCATGGTAAATGCCACCTGTAAAGGAGATCTCTATAAAAGGCTTCCAGAGTACAGCCTGAAGGGAGGTCACTGATGAAATCACTGAAACTTTTCTGGAGGAGATGATGTTTGAATGAAGAGGAGTTCACCAGGTGAGGGGGCGTGGGGGAAACGACACAGGACATGGAAGAGCCTGGCATGTTTTGGGGGAGCTGTGAGTCATTGCTTGTGACTGGAGAGGCTGGAGACAAGGCTGCAAGGTAAAGTCCAAAACCTTTGATGTCTACTAGGGAGTCTGGGTTTTGTCCTAGTAATGATAGGTAGCCATTGAAGGTTTTTAAGTGGGGAGAAACCTAGTCCTCTCAGGTTGAGCTCTGATATTTCCATAGGACTTCTGGGTTGTGGGCTTTGTTCTGATGGGATATACTGAGAGAAACACATCACTTCTAAGATATGCTTACCCCAAAGTGCATATCTTGAATCTAATTGTGAGGAAACATCAGAAAACCCTGAATTAAGAGACTTTTACAAAATTATTGTGGTAAAAACAGACAGCATGAGATCTACCCTCTTAACAGATTTTTAAATGTACAGCACTGTTAACTATAAGCAGTGTTATACAGCCAATCTCTAGAAATTATTCATTTTAAATAATTCATTTAAATAATAATTATAATCATACATAATTTATTTACATTCATTAAATTATGCATTTTAAACAACTGGCCTGTATTCTTCAAAAATGTCAATGTCATGAGAGACAAAGGCTGAGAATCTAAAGGAGACAAAAGAGACAGCTGAATACAATGTGTGGCCCCTGACTGGGGAGGAAGGAGGAAATTACTACAGTAGATGTTATTGGGACCATTAGCCAAATTTGAATATGACAGTGTATTATGTAATGGTGTTGTGTTCCCTGAACTCTGCAATTGGATTGCGGTTATGTAAGAGAGTGTCCTTGTTCTTTAGGAAATACACACCTAAGTATTTAGAGATTAGGGAGTATAATATCTATAACTGCTATTCAATATAGTGGCCACTAGCCACAGACTAGTGAGCATTTGAAATGTGGTAAGTTAAGTTTAATTCGCTTAAATTTAAATAACCACATGTGGCTACTACCTTTCATATTGGACAATACAGATACTGAACATTTCCACCATTGCAGAAAGTTCTTTTGGACAGTGCTGGTTTATAACTTACTATGATTCAGCATAATCACATGTATGTATGTTTAAAAAGAAATCTGGACAAATGGTGAATCTAGATGAAGGTTTTTTGTGTGTGATTTTCTTTCAACTTTTCTATAGGCTAGAATTATTTAAAAATGAAAAGTAAAGTAAATAAAGACTGTTGATTTTGGAGTCGGACGGTCCTAAATTCCAGGTCGAACTTTGCAACTGTATGGCCTTGGGCAAGTTGCTTAACACCTCTGAACCTCAGTTTTCTCATCTGTAAAATAGAACTAATATTGGAGGGTTACAAAGAAGGTTACAAAGATTAAATTAGACACTACATAAAGGTGCTTGGCACATAGCAACCCTTCTGTGAATGGCAGCTCTTGGTGCCAGCCTTCCAGCTCCTGTCTTCCAGCTGCCTGCCACATGCTGCGTTCTCCCTGTTTCTGTGTCTACAATGGGGTGGAGCGTTCTTTTCTCTCTCTGAGCTGCTGGTATGCTGACACCCACCCTCTTTTCCCAGTCCCTAGATAACACTGAGCTCCGGCTGCTGGGACGGACGCACTCAGCCCGCGATGCTCTGTGGACGCTGGCAGAGGCCCGGCGCCTCTTTCCCGGGCGCGTGTCTGTGGACTTCATGCTGGGGCTGCCGGCCCAGGAGGTGGGGCCGTGGCTTGGGCAGCTACAGGAACTGCTGCACCACTGTGACGACCACCTCTCCCTCTACCAGCTGTCCCTGGAGCGGGGCACCGCACTCTTCGCCCAGGTGCAGCAGGGTGTCCTTCCAGCCCCTGACCCGGAGCTCGCAGCTGAGATGTACCAGAGGGGCCGGGCTGTCCTTCGGGAGGCTGGCTTCCGCCAGTATGAGGTCTCCAACTTTGCCCGGAATGTAAGTTCTGGGGCTGGTGGCTGGAGGTGGAGGATGAGCAGACTGCAGTGTGACCGGGGCATTGTGACCTTCTGAAGAGAAGGATCCTGACTGGGTGCTCTCAGGCCTGAGATGGTGGGACATTCTAACCTGGGGCCCCTTACCTAAGCAGAAACTAGACCCACCCTCTTCACTCTGCACTATTTCCTCCCTCCCCGCAGGGGGCGCTCAGTACCCACAATTGGACTTACTGGCAGTGTGGTCAGTACCTTGGCATTGGGCCTGGTGAGTCCTGTGAACTACAGAAAGAATGACTCAGGAGAGGAGTGTTGTGGCTGTGTGATCTTGGGCCATATTAACCTCTCCAAGCCTCTATTTTCTCATATGTAAAATGTGGCAAAAAATAATACCTCCCTATAGAACTGTTGAGCATGAATTATAAGGGGCTTAATGTTGCACCTTGCACTGCGGTTCTCAGCCTTTAGTGTGTGTGAGAATCTCTTGGAGGGCTTGTTAAAACCCAGGCTGCTGGGCCCCACCTCCAGAATTTCCAACTGGACAGGGCTGGAGGACAGCCTAAGAATTTATATGTCTTGGCATTTTGGGATAGATGATTTAAAAAGAAAAAAGAGAAAAGGACCTGGTGTCACGTGCCTCTAATCCGAGCTACTTGGGAAGCTGAGCTGGGAAGATCGCTTGACCCCAGGGGTCCAAGACCAGCCTGGGCAGCATAGTGAGATACCATCTCAAAAAAAAAAATAAGAAGAATTTACATTTCCAGTGTGTTAGAGGCAGTTGCTCTAGGAAGCACATGATTTAAATCTGGTAAGCACATAGTATTAACAGCCATTAATGTGGGGATGGTTGTTGATGTTGTCAGGGGCCCATGGGCGATTTATGCCCCAGGGGGCTGGAAGCCACACCCGGGAGGCTCGAATCCAGACACTGGAGCCTGACAACTGGATGAAGGAGGTGATGATGTTCGGCCATGGCACCCGGAAGCGTGTTCCCCTGGGCAGGCTGGAGCTGTGAGCATCCAAGGGCACAGGGCTCTCCCCCAGGGTCCCCACACCCCAGGACCACCTCTATTTGTACATCTTTTATTTCCTGCCTTGCCCTGGCCCCTGCCCTGCCACATACTGTAGGGTCCCTGTTAACCTCTAAATGCATCCCAGTGAGGAATTTGGAGAATGGGAGGTGCACAGGCCTCCTCTCTAAGACTCCTTGATGATTTTTCTTTGAGGCTGGAGGAAGTTTTGGCCCTGGGTTTACGCACCGATGTGGGGATCACTCACCAGGTAAGGAGTTGGGATTCTTGCACACAACTCCCTCCTAAGTCTTGCGGAATCAGTGCCCCCTGCCTTCACCCCCCGACACACATACACCTCCAATTTCTGTGAGATTGGCAGCTAGAAGTGGGGCCCGGGTCCAGCTGAGGCCTGATGGGCAGAAGCAGTGAGCAGTGGTGCATAGCTAAGAACCCGAGACCAGGGCTGCAGAGACCCAAGTTCCAGCCCCCATTTTACTGCAACCTTGGACACAAATCCTTTCACCTCTCTCAGCCTCAATTTTCTGAGCTCTGTGAAGCAATAGATAGATAAAAGGTTTCCACTTGTTTTTAAGGAGCACTGAAACCTCTCATAGGAAGCACAGTAGCTAATGATTAAGCAAACCCAGAGCTTCTCTGGATAAAGTCAGAGCCATAAAGCCCTGGCTGGAGCTGGCTGAGAGGGGAGGGAAGAGAGGAGGAATAGAGGAAGGCCTGGCCTGGCTGGAAGCTGGGTTCCAGCCTCAGTGGAATAGGAGTGAAGGTACCCTCCTCCCTGCTGGCCCATTGGCCTGGTTCTGGTTTCATGCATGTCAGCTGCTGAGATCTCCATGCTGGGCTGGACCCTCCCCCACCTCTCTCCACACCCCAACTACGTGGCCCAGAGTAGCCAGGCCAGCTCCCCGCCTCTGACCCTCTGGCTTCCCCAGCACTGGCAGCAGTTTGAGCCCCAGCTGACCCTGTGTGATGTGTTTGGAGCAAACAAGGAGGTGCAGGAGCTGCTGGAGCAGGGCCTACTGCAGCTGGATCACAGGTATGTTGGGGGGTGCCAGGCAGAGGGGGCTGAGGCATCCCAGGGAGCCCTGACTACAGCTCTCCACAGACCCAGGAGAAGTGAGAAAGACTGACTGGTAAGGAGGGGCCTGCGGGTGCTGGGGGCTTGGCCCTGCTGGGGGATGGCTTGAAATTGGTAAGATGAAGTAGTCACCTTCAGGCCTCTTGGTTTTCCAGGGGTCTTCGGTGTTCCTGGGAGGGTCTGGCTGTGCTGGACTCTCTCTTGCTGACCCTCCTGCCTCAGCTCCAAGAGGCCTGGCAGCAGAGAACCCCCTCCCCTGTGCCAGGAGGATGACCAAATGTTCGTGTGTTCCAGGGTAACGCCAGGTGGGTTTTGAGAGCTGGGTTGGTACTTCAGATATCTGTTCTCCATTGTCAGGTGCCATCTCTGCTCCATGTGGTCATTGTCCCCTGGCATCCCCAGGGGAATGGCAGCAGTGAGGTAGATGGGAGGACATTTCTGGTCGGGGAACTGGCATCCCATTCAGCATCTCAGGACTCACAGGCCAGCATGTGTTCCATGGCTGGGAATTGCTTACCACCCACATCAGCTTCTGTTTACCTTTTTGGCATTAAATAATGAACAGTGTTTGGAAATCTTTCTACAGGAAATTACCTCCCCAAGAGAAGCCTTCCTTACTTTGGAGTAAGGTCCTACGACAGCTGGATGAGTCAGGAAAACCATGTCCCCTCTAGGTATTATTAATATAAGCAGGAAGGGATCTACTATAGGAATGAAGTATTTATAAAACCACTGAAAGGGATAGAGAAGTGAAAATTGGAGAAAACCTGTAGCAACTGTCAGAAATCAGCAACGTGCAGGAGGCACAGAAAACTCCTGCTGATGGTCTTAGCTTCCAGCTGCACAAAAGCAGATGATGTACAGGAAAATGCTCAGAAGATGCTCCAAAACTCATGCCTACTGTCTGCTATTGCTGGAAAAGGAATCATGGTTTCTAGAAGTGCCTCTCATTAGTGGACTTTAAAGCAAATCTTGGCTGGCAGGAAATTCTGAGGAATATAGTTCTTAGGCTTCCAGCCTCTACCATGCAGGAGAGAACACAGAAGGACTGATGTATGTTGGTGGATCCATGGATCCACATGGATGTGTCCAGCACAGTGGCCTGCTGGACTCTGAGAACTGGAAAAGATCAGAGCAAGCCTTGCCTCTTCAGGAAACCAGAATAAGTTTGGGGTGGTAGGAGCCACACAGACTCTCCTGAGTCCCCTCACCCACTTCCTTCCCCCTGTGCCTTTCCTTTGAGAGTGAAGATGGGTGGAGTTGCCCAAAGAAAGGGGAGAGAATTCGGGAAAGACCCAAAGTGTTTGTAATTCTCCTTTGTCCTTTTACCTACAGAAATGGTCACATGGTTCTATTCAATAGCCTAATAAACACATCTGGAGCCTGCCTTGACTATGGTCCTCTCCTTTGTCTGAGCTCTTTCCTAGAGTGTGGAATCCTGATTTCGGAACTAGAAGCTTAGCCTAGGGCTGAGATTCCTTTCCCCACTCACTACATTTTATTTTGAAGGATTTCAGACCTACAGAAAAGATGAAAGAATAGTTCAATGGAGGCTATATATCCTTTGTCTATTATGTATCCGTAAAGTCTGGAAATAGGCAAATATTCATAATGCCATCAAGAACATCTTCAATCTATTGAAAAATATGGTAGGCCAGACGGGGTGGCTCATGCCTATAATCCCAGCACTTTGGGAGGCCAAGACGGGAGACTCACTTGAGCCCACGAGTTTGAGACCAGCCTAGGCAACATGGCAAGACTGTCTCCAAAAAATAAAATGTTTCCTGACTTCGTGGTCAAGCTATAGATTGATCAATTGTTAATTTTTGGCCACACTTACTTCATCTTTAGATAAATATGTGTGTATAATTTTTTTTTCTGAGTAATTTAAAAGTTGTAGACATCAGTCCAGGCACAGTGACTCACGCCTGTAATCCCAGCACTTTGTGAGGCCGAGGCAGGTGGATCATTTGGGGTCAAGAGTTCAAGACCTGCCTAGCCAACATGGCAAAACCCCTTCTCTACCCCCCCACCCCCCAAAAATACAAAAATTAGCCGGGCATGGTGGCACGCACCTGTAGTCCCAGCTACTTGAGAGGCTGAGGCAGGAAAATCACTTGAACCAGGGAGGCGGAGGTTGCAGTGAGCTGAGATTATGCCACTGCACTCCAGCCTGTGACAGTGAGACTCTGTCTTAAAATAAATAAATAAATAAATTCATTAACTACATACAATCATAGATAATTGTAGCCTTTCTCCATTAAAAAAGAGCTTTTCAGTTTTAAAAGGGCTGAATTTTTTTTTTTTTTTTTTGAGACAGGGCCTCACTGTCACTGAAGCTGGAATGCCATGGTATGACCACAGCTCACTGCAGTTGTGACCTTTCAGGTTCAAGTGATCCTCCACCTCAGCCTCCCAAGTAGCTGAGACTACAGGTGTGCACCACCATGCCTGGCTAATTGTTTAAGTTTTTGTAGAGATAGGGTCTCCCTATGTTTCCCAGGCTGGTCTCAAACTCCTGGGCTCAAGTGACCCTCCCACCTTGGCCTCCCAAAGTGCTGGGATATAGATGTGAGTCATTGTGCCTGGTGAAGGGGTGATACTCTTAACCTGGAAGTTGTATGTTATATGTGTGAGACAGAGGGAGTGGGGAGGGGCATTTTCCTGGGAAGAGGCTCCATAAGTTTCATACCTTATGTCATAGGGTACCATGATGCCAGAAGTAATCCAGTACCACTGCCAAATGAGGCATGCTAAGCTCAGCCTCTAGCTGAGTGACTAAGAATGGGGCCTCCCCACCTCTCAGGTAAGCACGTGCGCTTCCCATGTGCCCAGTGGGTGTGAATATCAGTCCTTCCTTGACCCTGTGGTAACATGGTAAGTGTTACTACCTCTCCTTTATTCATGAAATATTAAGCAAGCACAAATGGTGTGCCAGGGACTGCACTGGGCATGCAGGGAGGAACAAGACCTGTCCTGGCCCTCGAGGCACTCACTGCCATGTTGACAGATGTGTAAAGAGATTAATTCCAGGCTTGTCAGTCAAGGTGTGCAGGCAGGTCGTGGGAGCCAGGAGCATGTTTAGTTTAGAGGGACTAGGAGCAGGACAGGAGAATACCCTTTTCTTACCACCTCCATTGGCCCTGCTGTCCTGGAAAGCCTGGCCCTGGGGCAGCCTGTGGGATGACCTGTGCTGCTCAGGGAGCTGCTTCCTGAGACTTCGCCTGATCTTGACATTCAAGAAGCCAGCACGGGGCTGAGGCAGGTGCACCATCAGATAACCTGGGACCACTCAGGTTTCTCCCAGCTGCCAGGGCTCGTGCCACCTGAGATGTCCGGGCCCTCCCTGCCAGGACACCTCATGAGGCCTGTGCAGAGGAGTTGGGTAGGAGCCAGGGCCAAGTGGGGGTGGCACAGATCACCTTCTGTGACTCAGTCTAGGCTTTCCTTGACCAGATGAATCAGAAGCTCCTGGAGTTGAAGCCCTGGAATCTAGTTTTTCAACGCTCATAGATGGCCCTAATGATCATTCCCTTTTGGGAACCCCGATTACAATCATTTTTTGCCTTCCATCCCAGGAGACTGGGGGCAGGAGGAAAGGGGGACACGGCTCTTTCCAGTGTCCCATGACAAAGTGGGAAGGGCGGCCTTCATTTCACATCCCAGCCCTTCCATGGCTCATCCATCGGGGGCTTCTCCTCCCCCATAGTGGGACCTGGGTTGTCATCTTTTCACCTGCCCTACATGGACGCAAGTAAAAGGGGTGAACAACCCCCTCTGGTGATGAAGTTGGGGATGTGTAGTACATGTGGGTATGTGGTTACAGCTTGAAGCACCAAACCTTCTGCGTGCAGGTAGAGCACTGATCATTTGAAAGCCTTCCACCTGAGCCACCCCTCCCTGCTGTCGAGCAGTATGAGGTCGACAGGACAGGTCTTTTCATTTCCATCTTAGATAGGGACATTCATGGAGGCTCTCTAACTCGACTCAAGTCCTATAAGCAGTAAGTAGAAGGCCTGGCATAACACTTCTGAGCATCCAGAACTTTCTGTCCCATCATTGTTTTCTCCTTGCTGTAGGTCAAGGTCAGGTGGTCTGCCTCTTAAATTAGGCAAAGTCCAGACCTCTCAAATTTGGGGGCAGGGAGGGTGAGGGTCTCACTGTGTCCCCCAGGCTGGAGTGCAATGTTAGGATCGCAACTCACTGCAGCCTCAAACTCCTAGGCTAAGTGATCCTCCCACATCAGCTCTCCAGCCCCTTGTAGCTGGCATCATGCCCATGAGACCACTCACCTCTCCTCTCACCCCCTTCTGCAAAGAAAAGAACTTTAAATAATAGAATGAAATCACTGTGTGATAGATTGTATTATGTCCAAAATATTTGCTTCCCCTCTTTGGCTTGAGCCTCACCTGAGGGCCTGGGGAGGATTATATACACCTACCTTGTTGAACCTGGAAGGGCCATGAAACGTGCCTGGCACTGGTTATAAGAGCCGGTGGGTGGTCCATCAGCTGTTGCAGTGACCTGCAATGTTCACATGGAGACTGTTTAGTCAGCCTAGGTCCCAGGGTGAAGAAGATGGTCAGAGCAGCCGGCCACAATAGACACAAACGGTAGAGAGAAATTAGCCCCTGCCATTGTAGACCAGTAGACTTTCCAGTTGTTGCCGCACCATAATTGAGACTAACTGCCTGATTCAGTTTGTAATCCCACCATTCAAAGATTAGCTATTGTTAAGATTCTGGTGTGTATCTTAGCAGAATTTCTGATACACAAATGAATGTATTTAGATACACAATCTTACAAAAATGGGACAATACACATCTTGCTTTGTAGCTTTCTTGTCTTATGTAATATGTACTGAGTGTCTTTCCATGGTAAATTTATATCTGGATCCAATTTTTCAGTATTGGGATCACAGTGTGGCTCCATAGCGTACTGATGCATGGTTATGCCAAAAGATGTTGTTTTCCCAGTTTCGTTTCATTTCTTTTCTCCTTCCTTCCTTCCTTTTCTTTCTTTCTTTTTTTTTTTTTGAGACGGAGTTTCACTCTTGTTGCCCAGGCTGCTGTGCAATGGCACGATCTCCGCTCACTGCAACCTCTGCCTCCCGGGTTCAAGCGATTCTCCTGCCTCAGCTTCCTGAGTGGCTGGGATTACAGGCGCGCACCACCACGCCCAGCTAATTTTTTGTATTTTTAGTAGAGATGGAGTTTCACCATGGCCAGGCTGGCCTTGAACTCCTGACCTCAGGTGATCCGCCTGCCTCGGCCTCCCGCAGTGTTGGGATTACAGGCGTGAGCCACCCTGCCCGGCCCCTTCCCTTTCTTTCTCTTTTCTCTTTCTTTCTTTTTGACATCTCTGTCACCCAGGCTAGAGTGGAGTGCAGTGACACAGTCATGGCTCACTGCAGCCTCAACCTCCTGGGCTCAAGCAATCTTCCCACCTTAGCCTCCTGAGTAGCTGGATCCACCACACCTGGCTAATTGTTAAATTTTTTGTAAAGACAGGGTTTTGCCATGTGACCCAGGTTGCTTTTGAACTCCTGAGCTCAAGCAGTCCTCCCCCACTTGGCCTCCCAAAGTGCTGGGATTACTGGGGTTACAGGTGTGAGCCACCGCACTCAGCCTCCAGTTCCTTTTTTTTTTTTTTCTTTTTTTGAGACAGAGTCTTGCTCCCTCACCCAGGCTGGAGTGCAGTGGCGCAATCTTGGCTCACTGCAACCTCTGCCCCCCAGGTTCAAACAATTCAACATCAAACTCCCAGGCTCAAGTGATCCTCCTACCTCTCCACCCCTTTGTAGCTGGTACTACAGATGCACACCAGCATGCCCAGCTAATTTTTAAATTTTTTACAGAGGTGCAGTCTCACTATGTTGTCCAGGCTAGTCTTTTTTTGGGGGGGGGGGGGCGCGGAGTCGTACTCTTATCACCCAGGCTGGAGTGCAGTGGCGCAATCTCACCTCACTGCAACCTCTGCTGCCCAGGTTCAACTGATTCTCCTGTCTCACCCTCCTGGAGTAGCTGGGATTACAGGTGCCTGCCACTGTGCCCGGATACTTTTTGTATTTTTAGTAGAGATGGCTTTTCACTATCTTGGCCAGACTGGTCTTGAACTCCTGACCTCGTGATCCACCTGTGTCAACTTCCCAAAGCGCTGGGATTACAGGCGTGAGCCACCGCGCCCAGCCACCCAGGCTGGTCTTGAACTCCTGGCTTCAAGTGATCCTCCTGCCTCAGTCTCCCAAAGTGTTGGGATCACAGGCGTGAGCCACTGCGCCCTGCTTAATTTTTGATAAATATAAACTCTGTGATGAACATGTTATGTAAATATTTTTATGCACTGGTTTGATCATTTTCTTTCTTTTTTTTTTTTTGGAGGGGGTGGAATGA